ATAGTGCCGTGGTGTCACACAAACCTCCAACTTCTGGGCTTAGGCGATTCTCTTGCCTCAGCCTCCTGAGTAGCTGGGACTACAGGCACCTGCCACAAAGCCTGGCTATTTTTTTGTTGCAGTTTGGCTGGGGCCGGGTTTGAACCCACCATCCTTGGTATATGGGGCTGGCGCCCTACCCACTGAGCCATAGGCACTGCCCTTATAGCATGTTTCTAACAGGAAAATTTCTTCCCCTTTAAGATACCATATGTTAGTGTATTAATCAATTCTAACAGATATTCCAAAGAAAACTGCAGTGGGAGAAAGTAACAAATTTTACGTAGACAACTATTTCCTTATAAACCTGATTCGCCTGATTAAAATATGGCCTTTATCAACTGTGCTTCAGATAATCAGACATACAACCAACCAATAAATTCCCTGGTGGTTCTGCTATCAATTCCTTTTATATCAGATGATTCAATTTTAAAAATGTTTGTCATAATTTAGAGACTTCAGAACCTGGGTTCTAGAATGACAACTGCCTGCATATGAATCCCAGTAATAATATTTCCAAGATGAGAATTTGACTAGTCTCATTTTCCTAATCTATAAAATGAAAATAACAATGCATTGCATAGAGTAGTTAGGAGGGTTAAATGAGTTATATATAAGCTCCAGCATAGTAAGAACTACAGTAAATATTAGCTATTCTCATCTAATCTGTTTAATTCAGCAATAAAAAAACCCCAAAATTGATTTCATTAAACTTCTAAAAGAAAAAAACAGCTCCATCCAATTTCCCCCTGCATTTTAGATAACTTTTAAATGGGTCTCATGTTTAGTAGAATAACTGAACCAAATTTTAATTCTTGCTAGAAAATTTCTTTGTAACTACATGAAGTAAATTTTATGCCTTTCTATCTCCCTAAATTAATACTATACTGCAATAAAAAGGTATAAATTGTCGATTTGTATTCCATTTCTAATATACATCCAAGGCTGCCTCATATCCTTTATCAATTTCACTGCTCTGGAAGTTCCCTGGAACAAAGAGTCTCAATCACAGTTCTTTCAAGAACATGTGACCACAGCAAAGTCCCTGAATTTCTCATCCCTAAAATGAGAAGGTCGCAATGGCTCACGCCTGTAATCCCAGAACTTGGGAGGCTGAGGCTGGTGGATTGCCTAAACTCATGGGTTTGAGACCTGCCTGAGCAAGAGTGAGACCCCATCTCTAAAAACTTTAGCTGGACATTGTGGTGGGCACCTATAGTCCCAGCTACTTGGGAGGCTGAGGCAAGAGAATCACTTGAGCCCAAGATTTTGAGATATGATGCCAAAGCACTCTACCAAGGGGTGACAAAATGAGACTCTGTCTCAAACAAAAAGTAGGTTGAACTAAATTCCATATAAAGTATTAATACTCAATTAATCAATCTATAGAGAAAAATAAAAAATTCACTTCCATGTTAAGACCTCATTGAACATTTAAGAATTCTGGGCTCAGCGCCTATGGCTCAAGTGGCTGGGGCGCAATCCAGCCCGGGTTCGAATCCAGCCCGGCCCGCCAAGACAACAATGATGGCTGCAACCAAAAAAATGGCCAGGCATTGTGGCGGGAGCCTGTGGTCCCAGCTACTTGGGAGGCGGAGGCAGGGGACTCACTTGAGCCCAGGAGTTATAGGTTCCTGTGAGCTGTGATGCCACAGCACTCTACCCAGGGGAATAGCTTGAGGCTCTGTCTCAAAGGGAAAAAAAAAAAAAAAAAAGAATTGTGAATGGTCAACTTTTAGCACCCTAATTACAAGAATTATTTTACATGAAAATTTTCTAATCATTCCATGATTTGCATTTTCCTATCTGCCTAACAAATTCTCACTCAAAAATCTTTCAAGATTTAAAGTCATGTTTGTAAATTTTAAAGTCATGTTTGTAAACTTTTCTATTAGGAAAAGTTGATTACTCTCCATTCCCCAAAACATCTTGCAGCATTTACCATATTACATTGTAACTACTCTTTCCTACACAAGCAATGTGTCTCAAATACCACTTTCCCCTAACCCCTTACAGTTAATACTACATATTTATTCAAATAATGCAATGCACTTAATTATCCTCTTCTACACAACTCCTAGAAATCAATTCACTACCCCAAATATATACTGAACAAACCATAAAATTATGATATAGAAAAACATTAAAGTTAATAGAAACAGAAAATTCATAAGGATAGCAATTTCCAGAAAATCAGAGACTCCAAAGAAGACACCCCCCACCCCTCAAAAAAGGAGGTAGACAAAAACCTGGGGGAAATGTTTGAAACTTATGTAAAAAATAGTTAATATCCCTAACATGTAAAAAGTTTTGAAAACAGATAAGAAAAAGAAATAATGAGGGAATTAGATAATTTGCTCTACCAAATACCAAAAGTTTTAACACCAAACTTGCTATCACCAAGAGTAGAATACTAAAACAAGAAGAACAAATAATCAATAATCTAAAAGAAAGGACAGAACCAAACCCATGAATGTGCATCAAGGAATAAATATTGTTGAGAAAATTGATAATCCACTTGGAAAAATAAAGTTATATACCTACTGTATATCTTACATAAACATTGCTGCTAAATGGCTTTTTAAAAAGGCCTCTCAATCAATGAAAAAAAAATTGATTTGATAAAAACAAGTGTTTTGGGGAAAACCCAATAGCCAAGTGGGAAAAAAAAATCATACCTTTCCTCAAACTGAACATCACAATTCTATATGGATCAGATATGCAAATATAAAAATGAAACCGTACAAGTATTAGAAGAAATTACTTCTAACACTTATATAGTTGTTATAAATTTCTCTGCAACAAGGGTAAGAAACTTTTCTAAACTGTGATCTAAATCCAAAGCAGTAGGAAAAAGACTGGTATTTGATAATACAGAAAAGAAAACTTGAGAGGAAGGACCATGAAAAAAAGACACACACACACACACACACACACACACACACAGAGAAAGAGGAAAATAAAAACTTGGGGGAAATGTTTGAAACTTACAAAAAAATAGCTAATATCCCTAACATGTAAAAAATTTTGAAAACAAATAAGAAAAAGATAACATCCTAAAATCCCTAACATATAGTTTTTAAGAACAGAGAAGGTGGCCAGCTCAGGTGTTGGGTCTCACACCTATAATCCTAGCACTCTGGGAAGCTGAGGCAGGTGGATTGCTTGAGCTCAGGAGTTCAAGACCAGCCTGAGCAACAGCAAGACCCTGTCTCTACTCAAAATAGAAAAACTAGACTGGCGCTGTAGTGGGTGCCTGTAATCCCAGCTACTTGGGAGGCTTAGGGCAGGAAAAGCACTTGAGGTGAAGAATTTGAGGTTGCAGTGAGCTATGATGACACCACCGTACTCTAGCCTGTGTAACAAGAGCAGGACTCTGTCTCAAAAACAAAAACAAAAAACCCCCATAAAATTTGTAGAATAATGTTAAAGCAATGCTTAGAGGAAAATATATGGTACTAAATGCTATACTGTACTAAAAGAAATAAAGTCTCAAGTCAATAATCTAAGCTTCTATTTTAAGAATATAAAAACAGAAAGGGAAGTTAATCCAAAAGTAAATATAAGAAAGGAAATACTGAAGAAATTGGTGATGGAAAAAAAAAAGATGAACAGAGAAAATCAAAAGTTAGTTCTTTGGAAGAGGGGGAGAGATCATTAAAACTGAACAACCTCTGGTGGCACCTGTGGTTCAGTGAGTAGGGCCCCAGCCCCATACACCAAGGGTGGCAGGTTTAAACCCAGCCCTTGCCAAACTGCAACAAAAAAATAGCTGGGTGTTCCGGCGGGCACCTGTAGTCTCAGCTACTCGGGAGGCAGAGGCAAGAGAATCGCCTAAGCCTGGAGTTGGAGGTTGCTGTGAGCTGTGACACCAGAGCACTCTACCAAGGGTGATAAAGTGAGACATGTCTCCAAAAAAAAAAAAAAAACCTGAATGACCTCACCTGTTTGCCTACTTGCCCTAGCAATGGAGGCCCATTCACTGTCTATGATGCAAATATCCTGCTTTGTAAATTTTCTGACTCTGTAAACGTTTCTTTCTCTTCCTCAACAAACTACTTGCCTTAAAAAAACCAAACAAATATATAAATAATAAAACTGAAGGGCCTCTAGCCAAACTAATAAAAGGAAATAAAGAGTATGCACACATTACCAACAATGCAAAGGAAATAAATATACTACTACAGAGCTTAAAGACATTAAAAGGATGAGAAACAACAATAAGAGTGGCTCACACCTGTAGTTCTACCAATTTGGGGGGCTGAGTCGGCAGGACTTGAGCTTAGGAGTTTGAGGTTACAGTCTGCTATGATGACACCAATGCACTGTAGCCCAGGCAACAAAGCAAGATCCTGTCTTTAAAAAAAAAAAAAAAAAGGACAAGGAAATATAACAGCTAAAAGATCAGCTTAGTGCCTGTAACTCAAGCGGCTAGAGTGCCAAAGCAAGTGGGTTTGAATTCAGCCCGGGCCTGCCAAACAACAATGACAACTACAACCAAAAAATAGCCAGACATTGTGGT